AGGGGTTTGGGGGTTTAGGGTTTTGTGTTTAGGGTTTAGGGCTTTGGGTTTAGGGTTTAGGGTTTAGGGTTTAGGTAGTATAGAAGCCAAAGTAATACCCTATACTTTTTTGTTTGGGTGTCCTTAATAAAATTATAGTAAAATAAACCCCAAAGCCCTTAATAAGGCCCCTACATTACCCTTCTGCCCCTTCTTCATTTTGGCTGACCAGTAAGGGTTTACCGGGGGAACCCAGGAGGCGAACATAGAATCATTAAGAAAGCTCCATAATTTTGCGTTTTGGGTTTAGGGTTTAGGGTTCAGGGTTTAGGGTTTAGGGTTTAGGGTTATAGAATCATTAAGAAGGCTCCATAATTCTGTAGGGTTGCAAACGCAAGTTCTAGCCGTGACCCTGGTTTCTGCGCCGGCTCCCGAGCTTCGAGCTACTCAGAAAAAGGACTTTGGGTTTAGGATTTGGGGGTTTCCGCAAATAGGGGACGCTAATATAGTAGCCTAAATAGTAGGATCCCTATTATAAGGACTCCAAAATACGGTACCCTAATTTCGGAAACTCCCATTTAGGACTTGAAGTTTAGGATTTAGAGTTCAGGATTTAGGACCTGAAGTGTAGGATTTAGGGTCCAGGACCTGTGAAGTTTAGGATTTAGGGTTTATGGTTTAGGGTTTAGGGTTTAGGGTTTAGGGTTTATGGTGATGGTACAAGAGCCCTTCACGCTGCAGCGCCCATGATCCGAAGCGCAGGATGCGGGCAACGAGGTCGTTGACGCGAAGAAAGGCCATGGGGCACAGGGCTTCAAAGGGTTCGCACCTTCGGGATTAGTGTAGGAGCCTAATTCTCTACCAATATTTTTTCGAGGGTTCCTTATTAATATTGAAGTATAATGGGCCCCAAAGCCCTATTTTAATTATTAAGACCCCTATATTGGCCTTGCGACTCTGACATACCAAAAGTATGATAGCAACTATAACTGGACAGGATTAGTGGTCAATTTGAACACGGGTTCGTGTTCGACTCGCTTCAGTCGCTGTGCGATACCAAAGGGTCTTGGATTTCCGTACGTGGGGTCTTCGAGTGAGCGTCCGTGAGCATTCATTGGGTTTTCGTTGCGCAGGCCCTACTGCAACCCTGACCACTGATCTTGAGATCAGTAGCACATAATATTTTCCCCATAAAACCTACAATCCCCCTACCCAATCTGTGGTTGATAGACTGTTGAGTTGTACTTGCAGCAGATTGATGCAGATTGCAGCCATCGTGACCGTTTCCGAGGAGGTTAGGAGGCAATGCATGGCTGCAGAGATCCCTGGGGCTCCATGTACACACATTGTGTGAGTTGTCAAAATTATGGTCCCTTTTTGGGTCCTTATTACAATACGGCACCTATTACTTAGGGCACCCCAAAAGGGACCATAATCTTGACAACTACCCACATAGTGCAGCCTTGGGTCTAAATACGGGTTCCTATAATATGGGTACGTTATAAAGGCCTAAGTATATGTTCGTATGGGCTGTATAGGTAACTGTATACGGCGCCTGCGGGGATATACATCACTTTGCAGGCTCGCCGGAAGTAATGTAGGGGCCTGAATAATTACAATGGGGTTTTGGGGCCCATTATACCATAATTATAATAAGGAACCCCCAAAACCCTATTCTAATCGTTACCCTAAACCCTAAACCCTAAACCCTAAACCCTAAGCCCTAAAGGTCCCTACGTTAGTGTAGTGGC